ATGAATAATGAGAATGGTGATTGTACCGCACCATTCTCATCGAAACAAGCATAGAATGAGCGATTATTCTGCACCACTTAAACAACAGGAAAATTTAAATACACAGAACAGGGTGGGTAATTATACCGCACCACTAAAATTGCAATGAAATTAAACAGCAGGCAAATTTAAATATGCATTTTGCAGTAAAATTAAATCTGCAGTCCAAGATAGGCGATGATACCGCACCATCTTGGATTGCAGTAAGAATAAATTTGTAGTTCAAGATGGGCGATTGTGGATTGCAGTAAAATATAAATAAACACTGGGTTAATAATCAATAGCTACACCAAACAAGAAATCAAAGAAATATGTAACTGTTAGGTTGAGAACTAAAAGCAGGTATGGTGCAAATAGTTCTTCGTGAGGGTATGTCCAGCAATTGAGGCAAAGGAAGAAGATGAACAGTAAAATCCTTAGAGGAAACATTTTTTTTCTTTCTTTCGGTGAAGGTAGATGGAAACTATTTAAGGTTAGAGGGTCGTGCTGATAACGTGTTATAAATAGGCAAAAGTTAGAGAAATAACCTTTCTAAGGACAGGAGCAAAGTAGGTGCAAAATATCACACTATAACTTTAGTAGCTATAACACGAAAAGGATGGTAGATAAAGAGAGGGAGGGATACTGATATTAGTTCTCTTACTTTCTTTCGTAGTGTGTTTGATAACAGACAGAGTGCTCTATTTATAGAGCGACTCCCATAACTACAAACATCAAAATATAGTGATGATACTTTTGAAAGTATCAAACACTATTACTCACTATTACTAAGTCTTTACAACTTTGCATCAGTTGGAAAGGAATAAATTTATTAAATCCAAATGACAAGGTTTGCATCAGTTGTAAGAATACTATAAAAATCCGGGCCAATCTCATCCCAAAGAAACTCGCCACCATGCTTGGTAGTAATCGAAGCCACCATGTGAGCAGCAAAGTAACCTTCCCGTGGGAACGAACCCGAACTTAACAAAATCAAAATGCATAGCTAAAGAATCAATATCAAACATCACCCCTTCTAATATTGCATCCCATTCCATTTGTCTATTAATCATACGAATCAACAATATTTTGTTTTTTTGTTTTTTTGGAAAAAAAAAACAATATTTTGTTTGCTTTGCTTAAGTTCTATAGGACGGAATAAATAAATCTAAAGAAAATCAATAGATAGTAAGAAATTGAGGGTGTAAAAAAACATTTTCCTACTTTTCTTAGTGCATTGCAGACGCCTTTACAATTGCTACGACTAGGGCTCTGACCTATTTAGTGTGGCTTCTCTAATGCAAAGATATCTCAAGTTAATCACGTATTTTATGTGAAAAATGTAATATGCGTGCGTAATTGAATTTGAGGAAGGGCTAGGTGTGGTGATCAAAATTTTGGAATGGTTTTCAGTATTCATGCCCAAATGGTGAATTAGATGGTCCATATCCATATGGATTTTCAGAACAAAAACAACTGAAAAAGTAGACACAGAAGCAATTTCCTCCCCAAGAATTTGGCAACTTCATCCTCCTCCTCCTGCAGCTCCTTGCATTTGCATTTCTCCACAAAACCCACTATTGAGTCTCAGTTTCACTCAAGTGTTCCTTCAGTTGCATTTACAAGTTTTCAGTCTCCGATGTTGTATTTCCGTAAAGCTTAACACATTGGTGAATGCAAGATTAATTAGTTGTAGTTGTGAGTTGAATGTGGTGATATATTGTATGAATAATGGGTGAATTTAACGATACATGTATGCATAGAGACGATTTTCATGTCAAACCGAATGTTTAGGAACATGTGATTGACCAAGTATCTATAGAAGGAATTTGTGTTTGTAGAAAGTGTAAGTTGTACCAAGAAATTAGTTTGGAATATCAAAGAGTTCATTCAACTAAATCGTTGTGTGGGAGCTCTATGCAGCCCTTGGGATGTTAATCTCCAGAATTTTGTTAATAGGTTGCTTCTGTTCTACTTTTTCTAGTGTTTCCCTTTGCTTTCACATGAATATACAAATTTCCAACATTTTTTTATGATATTACTTCTCTTTTAAAGTGAATTGTTAATTTATTGTATGTGTAAGAATATGAACCTCATAGTCGTATAAATTGGATTTTTCTCCTCATAATTCGACATTTTTTGTCAGGCAAATTCTGCTAAAATGAGTTCAAAACTTGCAAAACTTGGTTAGCAGTTGTTCTCACTTATGGTCTATTTAATGCGGTTACCTGTTTGATGCAATTACATATACTGCCTTTTTTTGTCCTTGTACTTCTTTTTTTTTTTTTTTTTTTTTTTTGAAAGATTGTCCTTGTACTTCTCTGGTATAAGAAAAGTACTGGGAACAATCCAGCAGCTATATGAAGGCACTTTTAGGGGTAACAAATGCTCAATTTTCTTTTGCACTCTTTTATGAATTTCATTTGAATGGGAATAGTTGAAGTTAGTCACAATGTAACCTCTTAGGGTTTGTAGTCGTTCCGACGTTCTTATTTGTTTAATAATATTCTTATTATTTTGTATTTTTGTTCGTTGTGCACTTTGATATTCAACTTGATATCTTAAATCATTCGGGAATTAATCTGTTTTGGGGGTTGATATCGATCTGTTTGTTCAGTATCAAACTATCAGTTTTGTTTTAGTTCGGGTTTTGTTGTTTGAAAACAAAAGTTGAATCTGCCATAACCCCACCGCTGCATCTGCACCTGTTCGACTCGCCCCACCTTGCCTGCATGACTCACGCCGCTGCACCACGTACCAGACCCGGATCGAACCCGCTTGCACCTGCACCCAGATCCCTTGCCGTCGTCACGCAACCGCCACACATCTCTGTCTGAACCACAATCTCACCACCACCATCTGCCTGCAACCGCACCAGTGAAATTGCCCGTGCTCCAGCCACTGCACTCATCGCAGCCAAGTTCGATGAATTGAACCTGCACCGTCTGCGACCACCTCGCCACCCTGCACCCAGTCTGAAACACTTGATGACCTTCACCCGTACTTAAAGTCGCCGCCTGCGCGCCGCGTCGGATCGGATCTGATGAACCTCCCGCCGCCTTGGACCCAACCCTGTCACGCCGCCAAACCTGCATCTGCTATGCTGCATCCTGCAACCCGACCCCGTCCCAGCCATTCGTCTGAACCATTCACCAGTACCCACTGCTGCATTCTTCATCTTCTGCGTCCACCGCCGTTGCTACTACTGCACCCATCATCCATGTCGAAGAAGGACTGTTTTGGTTGATTTAGAAATAAAAAAGGGAGAAAAAAAAAGGAAAGGAAAAAAAAAATGGAAAAAGAAAACAGGAAAAAACAAAAAAGGTACGAAGCCCACTATCTGTTGGGCTATTATGTTTTGATTGAAGGCCTTTAGTTGGGCCTTGTTGATTGAAGGCCTTTAGTTGGCCTTTGTTGATTGAAACTTGGATTGTTCGTTTGCTTGCTTGATTGCTCGTCCGCTTGCCTTGTCTGTCTGCGTTGCGGAGCCTGTTTTTTATTTGAATGTTTGGTTTTCTGGGTTTAGCCCGTTAGAATTAGGTTTTGTTAAAGACTAGGGTTAGTTTATTATAAATAGCATGCTTGTTATTCAATTGAGAATAAGTTAGTCACAATGTAACCTCTTAGGGTTTGTATCCGTTCCGGCATTCTTGTTTGTTTAATAATATTCCTATTATTTTGTAAAAAAATAAAAAAAAATAAAAATATTTGGATGGGAATGGTTAGGTGACAGTACTTGTTACACCAGAAAAGGTCTGGTTTTGGTATAAAAGCTTAACTGCAAAAAGGCATCTGAAAGGTTTCGTTTAGCTACTAAGAAAGTTGGGGAGGGGTCAAACGTCTTAGTTTGAGATTACGTATACAAGAGTGTTAGATTTACATAATGAGTTGTTGATGACTACATATGCATTGAGAATTTTGCTTATATCTTTGTGTTCGATGAGGGAGTGGCTTTTTTATTTTTTTATTTTTTTGGTGATTACTAAGAGTAAGAAGTAACAAGAGAAGGAAATCGATCAAATTTCAAATTTTTGCACTTTACTTGTTATTATAATAAGGAAATCGCTCAGTTGTTCCCGTTTTATCTTCCAACTCTCTACTTTCCAATTGTATTTTGGTGTCATTCCATTTTAATCTTAATTCCATTCAAATGAAGACATTTGAAGAACCTAACGTAAAACATCTGTACAAGCAAAACACAGCTTACCAACGCCAAGAAAACCATCTACGAGAGTTGATCCAATCTAGGTAGGCCGCATTGGGGGTTATTGAGGACAAAGTTGCCGAGATCCATATTAAAACTCCAATTTGGCAACTGATGAGCAACACAATTCCGCTCCCTGAAAACATGCTTCATGCTTCAGCTCAGCTCACATCTAACCAATTGACTCATCAATGTTTTGCATCTGCTCAAAATATCAACCAGATTTTGTTAGAACAAGGTGACAACAAACACCTCTATCAATAAAATCTCATTGTCCCAAATTGGCAGAGAACTCCACCCGCACCAATCTTGAACCATCAACATTAAGCTTATACCAACGAATATCAGGAGGTTTCCAAGCAGTGGGAGCAGCCTTCCATTAGGTTTATGGGGGAGAACCAACTCAAGCTTTCACCCAGTTCACGACTTTTTGCATGTTTACTAACAAGCATGGAATATGAAGGGCTAGTTGAGTCGTAACTCAATACTTGAAAATTATGAATCAAATCAAAATGTTTTTTTTTTATTGGTAGCACATTTGCAAATTTGGTTTAAAAATTTAGTTACTTGATATTATCCTAATGCAAGTATCTTTTGACAAATAAAAAATACATACGAAGATAACTTTTAAGTGGTGATATCCACACACCTATTTTTACCTTTCACACACCTTTATTATCCCGCAGTTGTCGATCAATTGAAACAGTTAAATGATATAAATTAATAAAAATATAGAAATAAGTGTGTCAGCAGCCACAAAACTACATAGATACCCAAAAATACCACAACACAGAGTCAGTCAGTACATTTCAGTTGCAAATGAAAATTACAAACACTGGGATTTGCTCTCTCTATCACTGAGAGATTCTCTGTGATCGATGGCAATGGCGGACAATGGCAGTCGTCTGCAAATGCACAACAGCGAGGAGGAGCTTCTTCTGCTTCAGAGAAGTCAGTTTCGACGACAAGCCCGACCGCCGAAACCTCCTCTGAAACGTTTCGACCCTTCCCGTCTATAAAAAAGGCCTCTTCACTCGCTGCAGCCCATCCCTTGCCAGAAACGGTATTCTCAGGTTTATCTCACACAATTACGGTTTTTTTCCGTTTTCTTTTGAGTTGCACGGTCTGTTTGGTTCCCGAGAAAACGCATGAAAATTTATAAAATTTTTAGCTTATGTGGAGTTTACTGAAGTGAATAGTTGACTACGTTCAGTTGGGTTGCTGATAATTCCAAACAATAAAATTTAGACGCGAATTCTTTTAATCGATTTGACGAGAAGTTTGTGAGCTAGTTTATTGCTTTTGAATGTTCAATGGGATCGTATAAATGTGTCTGTGCGATAATTAGATGATTTGTTGCTTGCAGTATGGATGCACGAGAGAATTCGAGGTCCTCGATATTGCCGTCTTCCCGAGATAAGAGAATTCCCATATATGTGATGATGCCTGTTGATGCCTTTTGCATTGATGGTATGGGGCATCCATGGATTAGGAAGTAAGTTTTATTATGACTTTTTGAGCATAGATTGAGGCAAGAGAAACGGGTTTCGGACAACCAATTCGGGTTCATGCCAGGACGCTCAACCATGGAGGCAATCTATCTCTTACGAAGATTGATGGAAAGATATAGAGATGGGAAAAAGGATTTACACATGGTCTTTATAGATTTGGAAAAAGCGTATGATAGGGTCCCAAGAGACATTCTTTGGAGGATTTTAGAGAAGAAAGGAGTACGAGTAGCATATATCCAAGCTATAAAGGATATGTATGAAGGAGCAAAGACTGCTGTAAGAACTCATGAAGGACAAACCGAAAGCTTTCCCATATCTGTAGGATTACATCAAGGCTCATCCTTAAGTCCTTACCTTTTTGCGTTGGTAATGGATGAGTTAACAGGACATATTCAAGATGATATTCCTTGGTGTATGCTTTTCGCAGACGATGTAGTGTTGATAGATGAAACTCAGGAAGGGGTAAATGCAAAGCTTAACCTTTGGAGAGAAGTGTTGGAATCTAAAGGTCTTCGCCTAAGCCGATCAAAGACAGAATATATGGAGTGCAAGTTCAGTGCAAATGGAGGCCAAAACGAGTTAGGGGTGAGGATCGGAGATCAAGAAATACCAAAGAGCGACCGTTTTCGCTACCTAGGACCTATCTTGCAAAAGAACGGAGAATTAGATGGAGATCTCAACCATAGAATACAAGCTGGATGGATGAAGTGGAAGAGTGCATCCGGCGTGTTGTGTGACCGCCGTATGCCACTGAAGCTCAAGGGAAAATTTTATAGGACGGCAATAAGGCCGGCGATGCTGTATGGCACAGAATGTTGGGCGGTGAAACATCAACACGTACACAAAATGGGTGTAGCGGAGATGAGGATGCTTCGTTGGATGTGTGGGCACACGAGAAATGATAAGATTAGGAATGAGGATATCCGGGGTAAAGTAGGAGTAGCCGAAATTGAAGGAAAGATGAGAGAAAATCGGTTACGGTGGTTTGGACATGTGCAAAGAAGGCCTACTGACGCTCCGATTAGAAGATGCGACTATGGGACAGAGGTTCAGGGCCGAAGGGGTAGAGGAAGACCTAGGAAAACTTTGGAAGAGACTCTAAGAAAAGACTTAGAGTACTTGGATCTAACGAAGGACATGACACAGATTCGAGCACAATGGCGTTCTAAGATTCATATAGCCGATCCCACTCAGTGACTTGGATTTTCCAAGTCTCCAACCGAGAAGTTTTCCTCACTCGGGAAATTAAGGGAACACTACCCCAACCTACATGCTCCACTCTGAAAGCTTCAACATACAAGCTTCAACAAAAGAAAATTCAAAGAACTTAGCGAAGAAGGCTTTGGTGTATTTAACACAATACGTTGAAATGAAGGAAAGCTTATTTATTGATATCCCCGATAAGCTACAAATATGTACATATACATGAGTCAAAATAAACACACAAGAGGGAGCCTTCACAAAGGTTGCTTAGGAGAAGTCTCAGCAGTCGGTAGAGCCCCAGAAAGAGAAGGCACCGGAGGGGGATCATTTGGAGCCTCAGTACTGGACAGAACCCTAGAAGGAGGAGGCATCAGAGGTTGATCATTTGGAGCTTCATTACGCGGTACAGCCCCAGAAGACGAAGGCAATAAATGCCTTTGGAACAAACCCACAAATCTCTGATGATCAAGTAAAACCTGACCATCAGTTTCCTTCATCTGGTCAAGCTTCCTCTTCATGTTTGTAGCATAGTCATGTGCGAGCCAGTGCAACTGTTTATTCTCATGCTTGAGCCCTCTAATCTCCTGTTTGAGACTCATCACTTCAGCCGCCAATGATTCAACTTGGCGGGTTCGAGCAAATAGGCGTTGGGCCATATTAGACACAGAACCTGCACACTGAACACTGAGAGCCAGCGAATCCTTAACAGCTAACTCATCAGACCGTTTGGAAAGTAGTCTGTTATCTTTGGGAGTGAGAAGGTTCCTGGCCACCACCGCAGCGGTCATATCATTCTTCATCACGGAATCCCCAACGGTAAAAAGGACCAGTAGGGGAGACGAAGGATGGGCGCCATATGTTGTCTGGAGAAGGCGGGGCTGCCTCTTCAACAAGGTTCAAGTCAAAACGACGGTCGGAGGGCCAGACATTTTCAAAGGTGTTGAAGAGAGAAGAGGTCGGACAAATCAAGATCTTAGAAGTGCAAGAATGAAGCTTCTACTGGTGGAGATTCAAGTGTGCTTTGGAACTTAATGCCAGCCCCTATAAAAATCTGCACTCGACGGAGCTTCAGAAATCGAAGAGGCGCCTGCTCAGAAATCGAAGAGGCGTTTGCTTTCTCAAAAGCTGGGCTGCTTAGAGATCACGAGGGTTGATCTCAGAAATCAAAGAGGCGTTTGCTTTCTCAAAAGTTGGGCTGCTCAAAGACCACGAAGGCCGATCTCAGAAATTGAAGATGCGCTCGCTTTCTCAAAAGCTGGGCTCCCCAGAGACCACGAGGGCCGCTCTTAGAAATCGAAGAGGCACCTACTTTTCCAGCCTTGTCAGCACCTGTCACACGCACACTCAGCTTTGCGGAAATTATGGGCATTCTGTCAAAGACTTATGGGGAAGTAGAAAACACATGAACCTTACTGTTCAATCACCCACTTCCCACACGCAACAATAGCTCATGGGTACCATAGATAACTTTACCAAAGTTCTCTGCCAAAGTTGAGCACGTGAAGCTTGCAGCTCCCACTACATCGCTCTGACCAAGAAGGGTAAAAGAATAGCAAAGAAACAGCACTAACAAAGTTTAGACCCATAAATTTTGAAGGTCTAGCTACCATATTATTACCCACAAGGGTAAAGGAACAGTACTTCTGCTGCTGGATAATTGGAAAGTCCCTGTGTGTCAACCTCTGTGCTTCGCGGCAAGGTAGACTAGCAAACATGCCCAACCTTTACTCACATTCGAGAAAACACTCCCAATAAGATTGCTTGCTCCAAAATCGAAGAGGCACCGTCCTCCGAATCTCGAGAGCCAGACTCCCAACATGACTACTTTCTTAAAAATCGAAGAGAGGGTAAAGGAACAGTACCATTGCTGGATAATTGGAAAGTCCCTGTGTGTCAACCTCTGTGCTTCGTGGCAAGGTAGACTAGCAAACATGCCCAACCTTTACTCACATTCGAGAAAACACTCCCAACAAGATTGCTTGCTCCAAAATCGAAGAGGCACGCCAGACCCTCAGCATGATTGCTTTCTCAAAAATCGATGAGGCATCGTTCTCCGAAACAATCGAAGAGGCGCTCGCTTTCTCAAAAGCTGGGCTGCTCAGAGACCACGAGGGCCGATGTCAGAAATCGAAGAGGCACCTACTTTTCTAGCCTTGTCAGCACCTGTCACACGCACACTCAGCTTTGCAGAAATTATGGGCATTCTGTCGAAGACTTCTGGTGAAGTAGAAAGCACATGAATCTTACTGTTCAATCACCCACTTCCCACACGCAACAATAGCTCATGGGTACCACAGATAACTTTGCCAAAGTTCTCTGCCAAAGTTGAGCACGTGAAGCTTGCAGCTCCCACTACATCGCTCTGACCAAGAAAGGTAAAAGAATAGCAAAGAAACAGCACTAACAAAAGTTTAGACACATAAATTTTGAAGGTCTAGCTACCATATTATTACCCACAAGGGTAAAGGAACAGTACCACTGCTGGATAATTGGAAAGTCCCTGTGTGTCAACCTCTGTGCTTCGTGGCAAGGTAGACTAGCAAACATGCCCAACCTTTACTCACATTCGAGAAAACACTCCCAACAAGATTGCTTGCTCCAAAATCGAAAGAGGCACCGTCCTCCGAATCTCGAGAGCCAGACTCCCAACATGACTACTTTCTCAAAATCGAAGAGAGGGTAAAGGAACAGTACCATTGCTGGATAATTGGAAAGTCCCTGTGTGTCAACCTTTGTGCTTCGTGGCAAGGTAGACTAGCAAATATGCCCAACCTTTACTCACATTCGAGACAACACTCCCAACAAGATTGCTTGCTCCAAAATCGAAGAGGCACCGCCCTCCGAATCTCGAGAGCCAGACTCCCAACATGATTACTTCCTCAAAAATCGAAGAGACACTGCTCTCCGAATCTCGAGAGTCAGACCCCCAGCATGATTGCTTTCTCAAAAATCGAAGAGGCATCGTTCTCCGAATCTCGAGAGCCAGATACCACAGACCACCTTTTCAAAGTGCTCTGACAGAGTTAAAACATGTGAAACTGGCAGCTCCCACTACCGTGCTATGACCAAGCAGGGTAAAGGAATAGCATTACTACTTGTTGTTAGGGAGACTCCTATATATGTCGACCTCAATCCCCAACGGACAGGCAGACCTGCAAAAATGCTCAACCCTTCATCATATCTAAGAGGGCACTCCCAACGAAGCCTTTCGAAATATTCAGCTTTCTTTCCCCCCGATAATACCTCTGCAAACAAGCTTTACTAGAGCAAGAATATTTCATATCATCAGGGTTAAAAGCAAGAGTATCCCATATCATGCTTTTTCCCTGTCTTTTCTTTTAGCCTTGTTTTTACCTGCAAGACAAGGAGAAAGAGAGCAATCAGTCAGCACTTGGAATCAAGCTTCCAGCCAGGAACTGACTGCCTGGAACCCCTTACCTGATTACTTACCTGGCATTGCTCTCGAGTACTCATCTTCAACATCTTATGTTTCCAGGGAAGATTCCGCATCTGCTTGAGGAACAGATAGGGCAAATGCGAAGGATACAAGGAAGCATGTGGAGAGACAAGCGTAACAGCACACGTGCCGATACATCCATTACTCTGTCAAAAGCAAAAGTATCCCATATCAGCAGGGTGGAACGTACTCTAAATTTGATGGACTTGTTTTGACCCTCAAATTCTTCAGTCGGCCTTATACTCTGGAGGAAACCAGAAAACCCTCCAGCTCAGTTCAAGAATAAGCCTGTGGAAAAGTTACTTCTTCAAAAGCAAAAGTATCTCATATCATCGCTTCTCATTTTTCTTCTCTTTATCCTTCATGCTGCTGCAAGATGGGGAGAAGGTGAACAATCAGTCGGAGCTCTGATTGCTTACCTTGTCTGTCACCTCTTTCAGCAGACCCCTAGCTCGGCGACTTGGGGGACTCCTACTACATGGTTTGTATCGCGCTTGACCAAGCCTGAAACTACAAGTAAGCTTCAAGTGAAATTGATACATTACCTTGTGCATCTCCACCAGTTAAAGATACCACCCCTGGATGGAGGAAGAGTACTTCCAGAGAAGATGCCACATCTACCTATGAGACAGATAAGGCAAGTCAAGACGACACCACACTCCGATACTTAGAAGTTTCGTGATTACGAGATCATTCTCCCACAATATTTTCTAATGTCATTTGTACTAAATCATTCACTTGTACTCACTAAAGGAGAGCTTGAACCTATGTACTTGTGTAAACCCTGCACAATTAATGAGAACTCTTCTATTCCGTGGACGTAGCCAATCTGGGTGAACCATGTACATCTTGTGTTTGATTTCCTATCTCTATCCATTTATATACTTATCCACACTAATAACCGGAGCAATATAGCGAAGATCACAAAAAGCGACCGTTTTCGCTACCTAGGATCTATCTTGCAAGAGAACGGAGAATTAGATGGAGATCTCAACCATAGAATACGAGCTGGATGGAAAGAGTGCATCCGGCGTGTTGTGTGACCGTCGTAGGCCACTGAAGCTCAAGGGAAAATTTTATAGGACGACAATAAGGCCAGCGATGTTGTATAGCACAGAATGTTGGGTGGTGAAGCATCAACACGTACACAAAATGGGTGTAGCGGAGATGAGGATGCTTCGTGGGATGTGTGGGCACACGAGAAAGGATAAGATTGGGAATGAGGATATCCGAGGTAAAGTAGGAGTAGCCGAAATTGTAGGAAAGATGAGAGAAAATCGGCTCCGGTGATTTGGACATGCAAAGAAGGCCAACTGACGCTCCGGTTCGAAGATGTGACTACGGGACAGAGGTCTAGGGCCGAAGGGGTAGAGGAAGACCTAGGAAAACTTTGGAAGAGACTCTAAGAAAAGGCTTAGAGTACTTGGATCTAACGGAGGACATGACACAAAACCGAGCGCAATGGCGTTCTAGGATTCATATAGCCGACCCCACTTAGTGGGAAAAGGCTTTGTTGTTGTTGTTGTTGTTGATGAGGCTATGATGCATTTTCATTCTTAATTTAATTGTTATACTCTTTTAAACAACGGAGTATGATTAGCTACAAGGTTGCAGTTAACTATTTTGATCTCTTCCAATTCAAGTTATGTAAATGTACGTTTCAAAATGTTTCAAAATTTATTTTTTTAATTTAGTTTCCTTTCAAGTGAGACAGAAACTCCTTATATGTTTCTCAATTTACTGTTGTTTCAGAATCAAGGCCTTAACTGTAGCTCTAAAAGAACTTAAGTTGGCATGCGTCCACGGAATTGCAGTTGAGGTTTGGTGGGGAATCGTAGAGCGTTTTCTCTCCTCTTGCATATGATTGATCTCTTTATGAAGAGCTTTTCAAACTGATTTTCTGACTCAGGTTAGGTTTGAAGTTGCATGTTGCCTTGTCTTTTCACTCAAACGTTAACTCTTCTTCTAGCAGAAAAGGGGGTGTAACTCTTCCACTTTGGATCATAGAGGTTTGTCTTCTTTGATATTTTGAAATCCCATTTGAAGTTATTAGTCTAGTACAATGCAGATGGCTGTATTGGAACACTTAATTTACCTGGTCATACTTTAAGAAACATAACCCATTTGGATGACTAAGGATAATATCAATGTTTCTTCAGTTTCGTGCTCTGCAACGTGCTATGGTACTGTGTTCCCCATTAGTATACTTGATTTTAGCTTAGACAAGGTTTAAAAAGTTTATCAATGCAAAGGGATGTGAAAGAAAAACTGTAGTTTGGCCTTCATTACACACCTATCAGTTTGAATCTTGAATCTAGATAAAGAAGTTGACCTCTTCTTTTTTTCCTCCCAGATTGGTGATCAGAATAAGCATATATATTATTGGGACCAAAATGGATTTTCCAATGATGATCATCTTACACTGGGAGTTGACCATGTTTCTCTCTTTTGCGGACATACTGCCCTCCAATAGAAGAAATTAGTGTTGGTCTTCGTCCTTCTGGTGAACTTAAGTATGTTACAGTTACACTAGAACTACAAGTATGAAGCCAGTCCAATGATTTCTTATGCAACATTGTTACATTGCTCACACAGATATCCTGCACATCCTTTTGGTGATGGTAGATGGAAGTTTCCTGGAATTTCATTCCTCTGACGGAAATTTGGTTGCTTTTGAATTTTTTACTATTTACAACCTTGTTCCTTTTAGGATCAGAAAACCACCACAAAGAAAAAAAAGGCGGAAGTTGAGTAGAATACTCTCGAAGCGAATAGATCAACGATGAAAGACACGTGGCCAACATGGGTAAAAGAGACTTTCCACTGCACAAAAAAGGAATCAATGCTTTGAGCCATGAAAAAACAGAGGGCATTTCCGACCAAACACTGTTCACGAACAGTGAAAAACAGTACCGGGTAAACTGAGTTTTAGTATAGATAAAATATTCGCAATCTTTCACAGAAATATTATTGCAATATAAGATTAAGTGACATTAATAATTGCATAATTTTTTAAAAACTAATGATTCTTTCAAGCAACAACATTTGTTAGGTAGGTTTTTGGTTCCCCAGATGTGGTTTCCGGCATATTTGACTTGCAGGCACATGAGATCCCCTCTCAGAAGCCAACAAAACTCCCACTCTTCAGTACTCTCTACTCTGTATACTCACCTACACGGACAAAGCCTGCATTGAAAAAAGTTGATATTTCACCGTACAAATAATTGACAATATGAGAAATAACTCAATTTATTTACAAGTTTATGCAAAGTCTTTCCTCCCATCAACGTGAGATTCATTCTCAACAGGCTCTTCACGTAAGGCGAATTTTCAAGCCTAATACGTAGACAATGGAATGGGATAACGTGGAGCGCGTGCATGTGACCGTTGACTTCACAGTTTACACGTGGGATAACTTGCTCTGATACCGCGAAGAAAGTTGTTTCACCATAAAAATTAATTGGTAATATGAAGAGTAGCCAATTACTTATAACACATACAAATTCCTCATTTCTCTAAAGTGGTATTCGACTCTCAACACACCCCCTCACATGTGGTGAATTTTCAAACCTAACATGTCCCCAACGATTTAACTACTACTCAATTGTATATCATATTACAACTACAAGTCGTACTTTGCAAGCAACAAAAAATCCATGGAGATTTTGTTTACCAAGTTCTTAATGGAATAGTTTACTTAATTATAGGCATATATGAGATAATCCAGCTTAGGGGTCAACAGTTGGCACGCGACCGGAGGATCGATCCTACCTCTCAGATAAGGCAACAAAAAAACATGTTTTAGCTTCGATTAAACTCCTCCTCATCACTCACTCCACAAACAAAGCATTTCACAAATCATGAATACCCTTTTCCTCACAGTTTTCCTTTTCCTCATCCCCATCTTGCTTCTCTTTGCAAGGAGAAAAAGATCACCAAAAAGGGTTCCTCCAGGCTCATTAGGATTACCCATAATCGGCCAAAGCCTCGGTCTTCTCCGAGCCATGCGTGCCAACACCGCCGAAAAATGGCTTCAACAAAGAATCGAAAAGTACGGCCCAGTTTCAAAGCTTAGTCTCTTTGGCAAACCAACGGTCTTCATTCATGGACCTGCTGCAAACAAGTTCATATTCGCCAGTGATGACAGCACCATTTCCAGTCAACAAGTTGAGTCTATCCGTCTACTTTTGGGTGACCGGAATATACTGGAGCTGAGCGGCGACGATCACAAGCGCGTCAGAAGTGCTCTTATGTTGTTCTTGAAGCCCGAGTCACTCAAGCAGTATGTGGGAAAGATGGACCAAGAAATCAGGAGACACCTTGAGATGCATTGGCATGGCAAGCAACAAATAACTGTACGCCCAAGTGGTGTTTGCAACAAAACTATTTTAAAAGACCAACTTTCGGTGAAGGAAAATGATTTCTGCACTCTACTTTTCACCTTCTGCATTCGTCTGTTTAATTGTGTCCCTTTATTCTCCAATAATTTCTTCAATCCAGTGACAAAGAAAAAAAGAGTTCAATACACACTTTATTGATCCATTTTCTCTGCCTCCTCTAGAACTTCTTCAATATTATTGCATTAGGCACCGTTTTCTCTTGTCATATTATGAATAAAATAAAAAATGAACTCGAATTTAGTAACAAACGAAGATCAATGTTAACTAACAAAGTTCTTCTGTTTGATAGGTCTTGCCCCTGATGAAAAACCTCACATTCAACATAATATGCTCCCTACTTTTTAGGCTTGAACGGGGAACTCGCAGAGATGAACTCTTGGAGTGTTTCCAAAAAATGATAGAAGGAATGTGGTCAGTCCCGGTTAAATTGCCCTTCACGCGTTACAGCCAGAGCCTCAAGGGAAGCAAGAGGGTCCAAGACATAATCAAGG